TTTTTTTTTTTTTTTTTTTTTTTTATATATATATATATATAAAATCATAAAATATAATGTAATTATAATATTCTAATGAGTGAAGAATCGTTTACATGGTCTTTATGTTCAAATTTCAAATACTATGCTTATGGTACTCCATGCATTTGCCACACCAAAACGAGACTACTAATGCCATTTTTCAATTAGGTGATATCTAATTTAATTTTTAATTTGAAATGATCATAATTGTTTATTTATTTTATTTATCTATTTTGTTTTATTTTATATAAAAATAATAATTAAATGTAAAGTAATATAAAATTATTAAATTAATATTTTATAATAAGAAATATGTAAATGAATTAATAATAAAACTTATAAAAAAATATGCAATAATGATTATTATTAATTTAAAGGTTGTATTTAACATATGAATTAAATAAGGAAAAGAAAAGTAGTATATGGTAATTAAGAAAATGAAAGATAAAACCGATTATGGCAAAAATAAATATAATATAGTTTATAAACTAGATGGTTTCTGTATAAATTTAATATCTATCTGAACCTACTTACGAAGCTTGAAATGCTCCACATAAGATCTTGAAGCATGCCGACCTCCTACTTAAACTTAGTATATTCAAGAATTATATATAGGGACAATATACTTATATACAGTTAATGTTCAGTCAAAATAATTTGTTACTAAAACATAAAACGCAATAATAATCATTTTAATATTTCATTTTTTAAAATCTACGTTTCAAATCAAATGGGAAAACTTAATAGAAGCTTCAAAACTAAATGGTTGTTTCAAAATAGTCCCATTTGGAATGCAATGATCAAATAGTATTCCCATATGTTTTAAAAATCATCCAAATAAACACAATTTGTCGCCGGAATTCCATGTATGTTGTCGGACATGTCACGTCCAATATATCACGTTGGGTGACACGCCACATTTGCATAGTTTCTTAGGTCATTCACATCCTTACCCATTCATTTAATCACAATTTACACTCTATTTCATCCGCATCATATCCACGTCATATTTTCATTAAATATCTCTCCGTTTAAATACACATCCACATTTGTTCATTCAGTTAAATACAAAATGAGGGGCCCATCATAAATAATATATAATTACATGGCTGCACCACTTTTTAATGTTTGTGGGGGAATTAAAAATTTATTTTCTATTTTTAACTCTTCATTGCCGTTCAGTACTCTT